CACCTTTGATTGGGGCTGGATTTACATCAAACACCCAACAGAAGGGGGGAAATTAAGCAGCCACCCTGCCCTGGGTGTGGTGCAGTGAAGAGTTTGAGTATGTGTTTGGTTTGTAGTGTAGTTAGTGAAAAAGGCCTCTGGAAACCCAAAGCAGTGGTGAGCTCTGCTGCCAGGGCACTGAGGTAATTTGAGAAATGCTGTAATAGCCAGCACAGGATGATATGCTTTAAGAAACCTGTGTCCTTCTCTTGACTAGCCCCATACAACGAAGCCAAGGCTTTTCAAGTGACCACTGATTTTGAGTGCCCAATTTGAGACACTTAAAGGGGGCCTGATTTCACAGGGCAGGTGCTCGGCCCCTCCTGCAAACCAGGCCCCTTTAAGGTCCCTCATGCTGGGCACCCAAAATCACTTACCACTTTTGGAAATCCTGACCACAAAGACTAGGGACACGATGCAGCCCTCACCTTGATGGATGTGCTAAGCGCTATGAACAGAGTTTTCATCAGATGCCTTAGACAGGCAGGCACAGGGGTGAATCTACCACAAACAGAGGGCTTTAATTATCGAAGAGGGCTCTATGCATGTGATCAAAGGAAGGCAATCCACCCTGCCCAATGCAGTGTTCTCCCTCCCCACATCACTCAGCTCCACATGCAATTTGAAGGAGAGAGCTCTGCAGCTCTCCTCCAGCGAATTATGCCCAAGGCAGCATTCTCCCATGTGGGATCTAGAAGCCTGCTGGTACCTGAGAGATGGGGACGGAGTTTGCCCAGAGAGGAAGAACTGGCCCAAACAGACAGGCTAGAGCAAGGATCTTTTCTGAGGGCCTGATCCAAAGCCCTGTGGAGTCAATAGAAGTCATTCCACTGACACCAGTGGGCTTTGGATCAGGCCCTAAAGGCTTTGGAGATCCAGGGCGATGTGTGTGTGCTGCCAGCCAGCCAGCTAGCAGACAGCCAGAATTACCACCAACCCTGGCAGTGTTTCAGGTCATATTTTCACACGCATGACAGACTCTTGGACAATCTCTCAGACCTATTAGGCACAAACGGGCTTTTCATCAATGCCAGTCAGGCATGCTTTCTCTCCATCTCATTTTTTCCCCCATCCAAAACACTGTGGCTGGTGCAAGGAAGTTTCAGCTTTTTATTCCCCGTTCACGATCGTCATCATCATCAATATAGCAGTAGACCTAAAGAGCCTGTTGTTCCAGGTGCCGTGCAAACAGTTGGTAGGTAGTCCCAGCCTGGAAGAGCTTACAATCGAAAAGGCAACCCCAGAAGAAGGGCCAGGAAAGAGAGACAACATATGAGCAAGTGTCTGAGTTGGTGATTGGCACACGTCTTGTTAGTGGGCCGGAGCTCCGTGCCCCTCGGAGGGCAATGGGCTGAACTAGTGGAAGGTAAGGGGGCTGCACGTCAGGATTTACCTCCTTGTTACCGGATCCTACCACTTAGTTCTTACCCTCCTGAAGTCACCGTGTGCTGAGGGAAGGACTGTGGTGCCACACAAGGGGGATGCAAGGTGGTGGAACAAGGACTCTGCGCTGAGTACCCAGCACCAGATGTCTGACTTTGTCTCCACTCAGAGATCCTCAGAAATGTACCACTCATCTTGAGAGAGAGAACAAGAGCGAGAGCACGTGCAAGCGAGGGAGATTGGCACAAGGGGCCTGGGGTTCTGAGAGCCCCTCACCTGTCTAGTAATGGCCTATATTTTTGCCTGGCAGCACAATTGTTTTTTTTTATTGTGTCCAGCTAATCAAACATCTAGGCCATTTATCAGTCAGGCCAGTGGAGGATCTGACTGAGCTAAGGAGGAGGCACGTATATTCTAGCCTGTTGTAGCATCTTGGTCTGGGAGGGGACACGGTTAGTCCACCAGAGAGAAGGAAAAGAAGGCGGTATGTCTCAAAGTTCAAGAGTACTTAGATCTGGGTCCATTTCTCACTTTAACTGGGCCTGCACCCAATAAACTTAGGGCTAGAGCCTCGTACCTAGATCAACAGATGCTATGGTGATTTATACCAGCTGAGGATGGGGCCCCTGATATCTTAGCATCTATTTCTGTCCTGTTATTCCAGTTGAAGTAGGACACGGGATGGACCTTTCCTTTCTCTACTTGGTAAGGCCACATTTTCCACTTTCTGAAAATCAGGCCACTTATTTTGGTGCTAAAATATGGATTTGGGGGCCTAACTTCCGCCTTGGGCTTCAACTTGAGCAGTTTAACACGTGTTAAAGGCAAACTGCTTTGTCTCCACGGGGCTGTTAATATGTATTAGCACCTTCCAAAGGCTAGGGGAGACAAGCCAGTGAGAGTCCCGGAGCTGACGACTGAAATAGGGGGTAGGGCACTTTCTAAACTTAGGTGCGAGGGTGGTGAGAAACATTTCCCCTTAATGACAGCTGTATTTTGGTTTTATTCACTGTCTGTCACCCTGACGTGCTCTCCAGACCATAATTAAGTAATTAAAACTCAACACCTATGAATGCAGAGACGTATTATACCTACTTTTCAGGTGAAAAAATTGAGGCACAGAGAGGTGAATGGCTTGTCAAAGGCCAAACACTGAACTGATGGCAGAACCCAGGAATCCCAACTCCATCCCCTACTCTAACCATTAGATTAAACTCCCTTCCAGAGCTAGGAATAGAACAGAGTGATTGTTTTGTTACAACTGCCTCAAATCGATCCAATACTAATCCCCTGAGATAGCCGTTAAACCACTCTCCCACCTCTGAAAACAAGCAGATAGGTAAAACTTCTTACCTGTTATGAGTACTAGCCTAATTTAAAATGTTGTCCCTAGGAGTAGGCCTTTGAATATGTTGTAGACAGGGAGGATGGTTCAGTGGTTAGGGCCCAAGTCTGAAACCTGGGTTCAAGTCCATGCTCTACCATCAACTTCTTCTGGGACCCAGGGCAACTCATTTAGCCTCTCTGTGCCTCCATTCCCCATCTGAAATGGAGACAGTAGCACTTCCCTACCTCATAGGTGTGTTGTGAGGATAAATACATTGAAGATTGTGAGGCGCTCAGATACTGCAGAGACAGGGGCAGGATAAGAACCAAAGCTAAGGTGTGACAATGGTAAAGAATCACAGAAAGAGATACTTTCTTCTAACACTGAACAAGGATCTCCATTAGATCAAGGAAAACTATCATCCCTAAAACTACTCTGTCCCCTTCTTTCACTGCATACCTTCTTCCCTACGGCCATCCCCAGCCTCCCTTCCACCGGGCCTCCTGCTACCACTGGAGTTGTGTACATATCCTTGCAAGGTGGAAAACAAGCATTTTGAGAAAGGGCCCAAGACTCAATTATTCTGTTCCTGTGCTCAGGGCAGGGAGGGAGAGGTGGGGCACAAAGGTTTCAGGCCATATTCTGGGGTTGGACAGGGCCCTGCCGAGCCCCAAGTGTAAATCAGAGCAGCCTCAGGGCTGCTCTAACTTATACTCTGCTTCCACGTGCTCCTGCAGGCCCTGGAAAGCAGAGACAGACATAGTGCAGTGCACCAGGGACATCAGTGCATCTACACCACATGCTGGGAGCAAAGGCAGTACAGAGTCACTGATACTCTCAGTGGACTGCTGTTGCCCATTTTAAGGCCCTTTTATGCTGCTAGAGTGCCATAAAAGGCCTTGGCGTAGCCAAGGTGTCAGCCAAATGTCTCACTGTTGTGTGGAGGTTTGTAGGGACCATCACACATACAGCATCACGTCAGCTCAACATCTAGAAACAGACGACTGTGAGCAGGGAACAAAATAAGCATTCTTGGCTTTTGCACATTTAAAACAGATCTCAATATTACTGTAGCACCAGGCATGTGTGTAACAGTACAGATGCCATACAGAACAATCTGGGTGTCTGCTTTGCATATCGAGAGCACTTTCCATCTAAGGATCTCAAAGTGCTCTACAAACATTCAGGTATTCAGCCTCAGTCCCCCATGATACAGGGAAGCGATATTCCTATTTTACAGATGAGGAAACTGAGGCAGAGGGAGATCAAATGATATGCTCAAGATCATACAAAAAGCCTGTGACAGAGATCAGAATCCAGGTCTCTGGACTCCCAAATTAACCATAACAGCGTCCATTTCCCACTACAAACTGCTGCTGTACCTTTGGAGAAAACAGATCACGGCTTTTGCTTGTACTAGATCTAACCCAGGACTAGAGCGCAGGACATGCCACGTCAGATGAGACCATTTCTCCATCACGTCCAGCATCCTGTCTCCAAAAGTGACCAATATGTGCTGCTTCAAAGGAATGTGATCTCCCCTTCACTCAACGTAATAATGAACCTAGTCAATCATATGATGCTGTACAGAGTATGAAAGAAGAGATCCTTCCTGACCCCAGCAGGTAATCATTTAATGTTCAGAAGCCTCAGCTTTCATTGATTTGATGTTAGCATCCAAATTAGAGGTCAGAATGTTAGCCAGCATTTTTAACCATCCAATGAAACAACAACAGGCCTAGTGTGGGGGCTCCTTCCTCAGTCCTACTCTGTGCTTTCTCCTGCGAAAGGGAGCAGGGAATAACTGGACAGCTGAGCTTAATTTTCCTCAAAGGAGTCATTAAGTAATTGCCCAGCCTGGTGTATTAACTGTTCCAGGGTATGATCAATCTGTATCACTCATGCAAATCTAATTGTGCATCATCATAAGGATAGAGTGTGCTGCTCCGCGTCCTGCTCAGCAGAGGCCCTCACACAGACCTGAAGGCAAAGCATGGCCCCTTGCGTTTACCCCCTTCATTCACTTCCACAGCATTGTGGTCTTGCATAATGTGTTCATCCCAAGACACACCCGTGAGGCTGATGTACAGGACGCTGGGCGGCAGGATCGTAACCACTGAAAGAATTCTGGACTCTCCCCCGCCCAGCCTTCCTCCTCTCCACCCCGCTGTGTTGTTACCGTAGACAATGGACCCAGACCCGACTGAGATGCTAACGGCACCGCCGTGACCTGCGCTCTCCCAGCTGTTACCTTGGAAGCCGCCATCACGGCTGCCGTTGCTGCAACATTCAGTCCCCGCTTCCCAAAGTGCACCAGGGCATCGTAGCTCCGATCCTTCGCTTGGACGAGGCAGTCATCAATTTCCTGTCGCGCAAGACAAAAAAAGCACAAGAGGGAAGAGTTCAGACCTCCTGCCCTCTCTCTCAAGGGTCAGGCCATCATTCATGGAGGCGGGCATCTCCCTCCCTCCCACCAGCTGGAGAGATATTTACAGCCAGTACTTGAAAAGGAAAAGAGGACGGCAGGGGAGCAGTAGCTTCCACTGAAACCTCTGGGAGTTGCTTTTATCCTGTGAGTGGAGAATTGGGCCTACAAGGCTTAGTGGTTACTGGATAACAATGCTGCAGAACGCTCGTAGCCACCGGAGCAGTGTCTGGGCTTGTGTGCTTTTCTACATTCAGTACAATGGTTATCGAAATAACCTTCAAAGACACAGGAGACTGGATGGTAACAGGCTGCGGGGCCTTCCCCTGCCAGGTCACGGGTTTGAATTTAGCCAGAGATAGCTGCGCCCGGGAGCTGTTACAGTCCGATGGCTGTTTGCTGGCCTGAGTGAATGGGTTTGGTGGTTCCAGCCCGCTCCTTAATGGGCGGGAGCCCACATCTCAGCTCTCCCCATCCCACTTGTAGGCAGGCTAAGCAGAGGTGCCCAAGAGGGAGCAAGCATGGGGACTGAACTCCATTCTGCACCTTACAAATGGGCCCCCTAGAACAAGACTGAGGCACATTGGCGATGCAGTCAGGGAAGAGTGTGCACTGCCACTCTATGGACACTGCCTGTTTATATAGCTACGCAGCGATCTTCCATCTCTTAGGCTGCTAGCATGGCACTATTTTCCCAACCGTAATTATTCTTTTCCTTATGTCTAAAATACAGATATGCCACATGATCAATGCCCATGTTCAGATAGTACGTTCAAAGGGACACGTGATGCCTTAGATCTGCCCAACATCATCCCGTTCCCGTCAACGGAAGTTCCCCAGGCAGACCAATGGCAACACACGGCCCAGAATACCAGAGCTGGAGTTATGTCGTCATTTCTAGAAGTACTATTCTTGATGAATACAGCACCGATTATCCCCAGATCTCAAAGCACATTACAAACATTAGTGGCATGTGAAACACAGGCAAGTGTTTGTTATACCAATTTTACAGACAGGTTAGGTGATTTGTCTCAAGATCACGTGGCAACTCTTTAGCACAGCTTGGAACAGAAAACCAAGCAGGCCCCACTCCCACCCAGTCCCCACTCTCCTAACCTGGAGAAGGCAGTACTTCCAGAAATGACACCTCAGCTACATGCAGTGTAGTTGTGGCTGCGTTAGAGCCAGGATATTAGAGAGACAAGGCGGGTGAGGTAATATCTTTTATTGGAGCAGCTTTTGTTGGTGAGAGACAAGCTTTCAGAGCTCTTCTTCAGGTCTGGGAAAGGTATTCTGAGAATCACAGATAAATGAAAGGTGGAACAGATTGGTTAGCATAAGTAGGTAGCACATATTGTAATTACAAAGTAATTACCACACACTAAGTAGAGTGGCCCATTAACTCCTCTGCAGTCATAGGACAAAAAGAAGGTTAGTGGGGGCAAGGCTACACGACAAAATTAAGTCAACCTAAATCATGTCAATGTACAGCCACCGCAGTAACTGAATCGGCTTTACACATCCACACTACACTCCTTGTGCCCACGGTGTGCATCCTGACCAGGAGCACTTGCACCCATTTAACTGTCAGTGTGGGGCATTGTGGGACAGTTTCTGAAAGGCAGCACCAGACGATGTAAGCAACGCAGAGTCTACACGGACATAGACTTAAGTGCTACGTTTCTCGCAGAGGTGGAGTTATTAGTCGGTGTAGTGGGCAAGTTACATCGCTGGGAGCTACATTTTATAGAATCATAGGACTGGAAGGGACCTCAAGAGGTCATCTAGTCCAGTCCCCTGCACTCATGGCAGGACTAAATATTATCTAGACCATCTCTGACAGGTGTTTGTCTAAACTGCTCTTAAAAATCCCCAATAATGGAGATTCCACAACCTCCCTAGGCAATTTATTCCAGTGCTTAACCACTCTAACAGTTAAGAAGTTTTTCCTAATGTCCAACCTAAACCTCCCTTTCTGCAATTTAAACCCATTGCTTCTTGTCCTATCCTCAGAGGTTAAGAAGAACAATTTTTCTCCCTCCTCCTTGTAACAACCTTTTATGTACTTGAAAACTGTTATATCCCCTCTCAATCTTCTCTTTTCCAGACTAAACAAACCAAAATTTTTTCAATCTTCCCCCATAGATCATGTTTTCTAGGCCTTTAATCAATTTTGTTGCTCTTCTCTGGACTTTCTCCAATTTGTCCACATCTTTCCTGAAATGTGGGGCCCAGAACTGGACACAATACTCCAATTGAGGCCTAATCAGCGCAGAGTAGAGCGGAATAATTACTTCTTGTGTCTTGCTTACAACACTCCTGTTAATACATCCCAGAATGATGTTTGCTTTTTTTGCAAAAGTGTTACACTGTTGACTCATATTTAGCTTGTGGTCCACTTGTGGTCCAGATCCTTTTCCGCAGCTCTCCTGTGTATCTACTTTAGTGTAGATATGTAGTGTAGAGTTAGTTTATGTCGACCTATCTCTGTAGTGTAGATCAGGCCTGAGTTATAGATTGAATTTATGGTTTATTACAACAGTCTGTAACCCAATAACCCCCTCTTTTTGTCCTATGACTGCAGAGGTGTTAACAGGCCACTCTACCTTGAGAGGTTCCTTAGAATATGTGCTACCTACTTATGCCAAACAATCTATTCCGCCTTCCATTTAACTGTGATGCTCAGAGTACCTTTCCCAGACCTGAAGAAGAGCTCTGTGAGGCTCAAAAACTTGTCTCTCTCACCAACAGAAGTTGGTCCAATAAACGATATTACCTCACCCACCTTGTCACCCCAGCTACATTCAGTCAGCATTTCCAACACTGTGAAGTTTGTCATGCAAGGAAGAACTATTTTCAGGTTGGTATTTTCAAGGAAAACAAAATACATGTATCCCATCCTCCTAGGTTCCCCGGTGCCCAGACGTAGTTAAGTTATTCTGAATGAGCTCAGCAGCTGCGGATACAAAAAAAAACAAACCCAAAGAAGATCAAAGAACAAAAATAAATAAAAGAAAAAGCAGTGACTCATCTTCTTGAGATGAAAGCCGTGGATACAGCTGACATACGGTAAACACACTAATTCCACTGTTGGGAGCCATCCACTCAGTTAGGGCATGAACACCTGTAATTACCTTTTCTTTTGAAGACAGTGTTGGGTGTACAAATTTTCTATACAGGAGGCTGGAGCCTTTTGTGTACGGAGACAGCAACCAAGCTACAAAAGCTATTTTCAGTTCATAATAGAATGGAAACCTATGGGAAAACAAAGATGACATAGATTCTCGTTGACTGCTTCTCTGATGATAATAGAAGCCCAAGGCAGTTAGCAATTGGCAGATTCATAGCTTAAGCTGATTTCTGTCTACCTGAGTGTCCTAAGGATCTACCACCCACTTTCCCCCCACATTCACTCACACCCAGACACTGGCTGAGCTCTGTGCAAAGTTTTCCTGGCAGCCAGGTAGCAGCAACATTATTTCATAGGGACCCTTACAGCCAATTAAGTGACAAGGGGTGCTGTATGCACAAAGGGGCCATGGAGGCTTCCTTTGCAGTGTTCCCAGCCCTTAGAGGCCTGGGGTGCAGAGAGAACACTTCCTATCACACCCGCCAGCAAACCAGCCTCTACAGCTTTATTTATACACCTTTCGCCTCTCTCTGCCTTTCTGCAGTTCGATGGCACTTATCACGGAATCGAACCATCATTCCTTTCACATTATGCAAGCACTGTCATTGTCTGTGCTTGTACAGTGCGCAGCACAATGGGGCCCAATCCTCCCTGGGGATTTTTGGCACGACTGTCATATCCACAGAATAACAATTACTAATAAGAGATGTTCCCGTTATAACCACACGTGTCCTTCCCTTTTGTTTTGCTAGCAGCACCGTGACTTAACACAGAGAATTTTAAAAATCTAACATGTTTTCTGCAGTTGGTTTACGTGTCTCATTTCTCTCAATTAAGGGAATGTCTACACTGCAATCATGGGATGTGCGATTGCATCTTATCCAGACGTACCCGAGCTAGCTTGAATCTTCACTGAGTGACGTCATAGCAGCACGGGCTGTACAAGCCCGCTTGGAACTGTACACAATTACTTGTGTGGCTAGCCTGTGCTGTAGCCTGCGCTGCTGCGTCTTCATCTCCGGAACCCAAGCTAGCTCGATGAAAGCTAGCTCAGGTCCATAGATGAGCTGCAGTCACACCTCCTGGATCAGACCCAAATGAGTTAAAAAGGACACACTGAAGTACCAACATCATTCCTCCTTATGGGCCAGATTCTGTGTGGTGGTGAGCTCCCTGAAACTCCCATTGAAAAGAGTGCTCCCTGCAGGTGATCGGCACCTTGTAGGTCTGGGCCCTTGGTGAGGTACATGCGTAAGCATTAAGGACTTTAAACCCTTTGACATCTCCGATTTCCATTGGCTTCAATGGGCGTTGGATCAGGCTGTATAAACAGTGGTCAAAATGTGCCTGAAGTTAGGTACCTATCTAAGTGGCCTAATCCAAAGCCCACAGGAGTTTTCCCCCTCACTTCAGTGCAAGTGGCCTGATTTGCAGAGGTGCTGAGCACCCAAAGCTTCTATTGACCTCAACACCCCACTTTAACAATGGCCTGTGTTCCTCCTCTTCTAACCCCCTGCACGAAAACAGACTGGGAGGAAACGGCAGGGTGCACAGGCTCGACCCCTTTGCAAACAAAGAATGTCACTTTCCTCTGTGCTCCCTATACACCCAAGCATCTATCCCAAAGGAAAAGGACAGAGCAGGAACAAGTAACACCCCCTGCTATTGGAACCCACTGCTGAGTGTGTGTTACAGACCCCTCTCCGCCCAACCTGAATATCAATCTGCTACAGCCCTAGCTAGAAAACTCTGGATCTCTAGCTTAAGCTTTAGCAGCTCACGCTTTTAGCTCTGGAGGTTCCCAGTTCAATTCCCAGTGTGTCGGCCAAGATGGCAGCTCCCTCAACTGGGGCTGCAACAGACTCCTATCTGTGGAGCAGGCACAGAGAGGAACACGTAACACACTGGGTTACCCTAGGGATTAGAAAGTTTTTGACGGGAAAAAGAGTTAAAGGGGTTTGTCTTATTCCTGTTTGTATCTTCCTCCTCCTCCTTCCTCCCTCCCTCCATCTCTTCCTTCTCCCCATCCCTTTCTCTCCCCTCTTTCCCTTTTCCCCTCACTCATGTTCCCCTCTCCTTTCTCACACATTCCATCCTTTCCATATGCGTGTCTCCATCCCAACACCTGCACCAGTGCCCACAGCAGAAGAGGGCTGCTGTCTCTGCCATCCTCTGTTGACAGTGACAGACCCTCATCAAACTCCAACTACTTTCTCACAGGCCCCTGAGCAGTTCCCCTGACGTTAGTATTTTCCAACCCCTAAATCTGGCAGCGCTAAGAGAGGAAGTGCTGGTCCTCCAAGCAAAACACGCCATGCACCTGACATTTAACCCCTTGCACAGGAAATGACACAGCCTTATAATCCTCTCTCTGGAGCTCTGTTCCCTTATAAACACTTCTGTTTTCCTCCCCATCTCATTACAAACGCCCCACCTTGGTCTGCTGCTCACCAGCAAAGAAAAAGATCTGTGAAAGTCTCGGCTGTTGTGAAGAGTGCAAATATGATCCAGTACATCATCCATTTGACCTGTGAAGAGAAATCAGATATTTTATAACCATGCTGTTCTAGGAAGGCACAAATGTACAGTGATGGTATTTTACTCTTCTATGGTACAGCACCTTTCACCTGAGGATCTCAAAGCTCATCCTATCCACAACTGCCTGGTGATACTCTTATTGACCAGAAAACCTCAGAAACCTGCTGTGCAGGTACCGAGAACTTAAGGGCTTTGCCAGGTGTTACCCAGCAAGTTGTCGCATAGGTATATTCCACAACACAAATCAGAGTCATGCACAAGCCCATGTGAAGAAGGAATTTGTCCCTTAGGATCAATCTGACCAAAAGACAAAGTACTGTAGTCAGACTCGCTGCTCGTATTCCACAAGGAGTTTCTGCTGTAGAATTGCTGTCCGACAGAGAATGATTTAGACACATAGCTGGATAACACTAGAACATACAGATGATGCTGTATAACTTCCCTCTTCATCTGCAAATGCAAATGCAACCCTGCTATCATGTTATCTTGTGCTGTAATCCCATCAGATCATGCCCAATAACCAGGGTTAGGTTAGGTCAATATATGGATCGGAGATCACCAAGTGACCTCTAAGTACTGCAGGAAGGAAAAGGTGCTTATGATTCAGTAGCTAGCACTGTTCCCTCTGAGTAAGTTCCAGCATACCCATATTTGCTGACAGGAGGAGCTGTGCTATTGGAGGTGTCCTCTCTCACATGACCTATGTAACCCACACCCACTCAGTGTGGTGCTCTCTACCCCTTTAGTGGTCGGGGCCATAGAAAGAGGTTGGTGAGCCTGCTGCAGCCAAGGCTCAGAGGTGGGTCTTTTAGCTTAGGCAGTAGAGGCTTGAAACGGATTCAGGGGTAACACTCATTTTTCCTGGGCTGACAAGCCTACCAGCTAACGTACCGCCTGCAGCATAGACGGACACAATAGTCTTCTTAATTTCCCATCTTAAACCATACTGTAGTGGTGTTGCATTACACCCCAGAGGCAGCTGCATTTCAGTGGTGGTCAGGAAACGCATTCTCCACCCTCCCAGTGATGAATTTGATACAGATGAATTTTTTTAAAAACTGTTAATTGAAAAACTGTAAGGCCGAAAGCTTCTTGGTTATTTGTTTGTTTAGTTTGTTTTGTTTTTTTGGCAACCAAAAATCAAAATGTTTTGACCAGTTGGGCAAACATTCTTTGTTTCACTGAAAATTTTTGCCTGACTGGCTGAAATTTTTCAGTTGACAAAAACAAATCAAATGTTTTTCCAATAAAACATTGTTGAATAGTGACATTTCCCATGGATATTGTGAACAATTTTTTTTGACCAACTCCCCTCAGTACATCTTAGCAACCTCACAGGGGTGCTATTAACTTTAATTAAGCAATATCTGTGAAGCACTTTAAGAGTCATAGGTCTTGTCTACACTAAAAAGGTGTACTACGGTAACTCAACCAGAATAATTAAGCAATACCACTCCTGGCAGGCCTTGTCCACACTTGGTTTGCTAGTATAGATATGTCAGGAGGGCTACACTGGCTAGCCCCAACCAATATCCTAGTTGAGATGCAACTTATGCCACCAATAATTCTTTCGCCAATATAGTTTACACCAGTTACCCAAACAGAATAAGCTATACTGGCAAAAGTTCCTTTTTATCCATATAACAACATCTGCACTAGGACTTTTGCTGGCACAGCTATATCAGTTTGGGAAGCAGGGGGCGATTTCCTCACACTCCTAACTAACATAGCAAGGCCGGCAAAACTTTTAAGTATAGACCAAGCCCTACTGTGGATAAAGTATATCAGAGTAAAGGTGCTTTATACTGGTATAACTATTCCCACATGGGAAAGGGAATAAGCTATACTGGTATAAGGTACCTTTATTGATATAACTGCATCCATCCAAGGTAGGGTTTCTAATTGCAGAAAACCCAACACTCTTGCCTCGCCTCCTGCCCGCCCCAAGGCCCCACCCCTGCCCCATCTCTTCTCTGAGGCCCCACCTCTGCTCACCCCATCCCCCCTCCCTCCAACTCTCACTCTCCCCCACCCTCGCTCATTTTCTCCAGGCTGAGCCAGTGGGTTGGGGTGTGGGAGGGGGTGAGGGCTCCAGCTGGGGGTGCGGGATCTGGGGTATGGCCAGGGATGAGGGGCTTGAGGTTCAGGAGGGGGCTCCGGGCTGGGGGGTTCAGAGTGTGGGAGGGGGGCTCTGGGTTGGGGCAGGGGTTCGGAGTGTGGAGGGGGCTCCTGTCTGAGGCAGGGGGTTGGGGTGTGGGAGCGGATATGGGCTCTGGGGTGGGGGTACGGGCTCTGGTGTGAAGCTGGGGATGATGGGTTTGGGGTGCAGGACTGGCCTCATGGCTAGGGCCATGGGGTTTGGAGTATGGGAGGGGGATCCGGGCTGGGGCAGGGGACTGGAGTGTGAGAGGGGGTGTGGGCTCTGGCTGGGGGTGCGGGCTCTGGGGTGGGTCCGGGGATGAGGGATTTGGGGTGCAGGAGGGGGCTCCGGGCTGGGGCAGGGGTGTGGGAGGGGGTGTGGGATCCAGGAGGGAGTTCTGAGCTGGGGCAGGGGGTTCGGGTGCAGGAGGAGGCTTGGGATGCAGGCTCCGGGTGGTGCTGACCTTGGGCGGCTCCCAGGAAGTGGCAACATCTCCCTCTGACTCCTAGGCAAAGGAGCAGCCAGTTGACTCCACACACTGCCCCCACCCACAGGTGCTGCTCCGGCAGCTCCCATTGGCTGTGGTTCCCGGCCAATGGGAGCTACGGAGCCGGTGCTTGGGACAGGGGCAGCGCGTGGAGCCCCCATGGCCGCCCCTCTGCGTAGGTGCCGGAGAGACATGCCGGCTACTTCCAGGGACCTACACGGAGCTGGGCAGGGAGCCTGCCTTACCCCACTGCATTGCCAACTGGACTTTTAATGGCCTGGTCAGTGGTGCTGACCAGAGCTAGTGTCAACCGGAGCTAGTGCCAGGGTCCCTTTTTGAACAGATGTTCAAGTCGAAAACCGGACACCTGGCAACCCTAACCCAAGGTCTTGTATTGGTATAACTATATTTGTTAAAGGAAAAGCACACCCCTAACCGACATAGTTATAACAAAACAACTTCCAAGCGCAGACCAGGCCTTTAGATGAAATGTGTTCTAGAAATGGAGACTATCGTTGCTAGCCACTGCTAGGCGATGTTATTTGAACTGCCAGGACGTCAAAGGGGATTTATATAGCTGGAGTGGTGCAGCAGAGTCAGCTCTGCAAGTACATTTTGCCTCACATACCTGGCACGTCAGGCAGCCCTCATCTGGTTTACTTACAATGCTCACGACAAGTTAATGCTTTCAGATATAAAGAACTAATCTCACCAAGGGAAACGCTCGACTGGAAGAATCTCAAGGGCCTCTCCAAGTCACAGCTTGACACTGTGCTAAGGACACGTTCAGATAATCGTCAAAGCTGTCACCAAGACATGGAAATGGGCTTATCATCACTGAGCTGCTCAGATACTTGAAGAGTAAATACCTGAAGGCTCTTCAGTGTTCAGTACAGTTTAGATAGAAAACAAGATTGTGACAGGCAGTACAGACCCTTTGGGACACAGAAGGGGCCTTTGTGGGTCATGCTTCTCCCACTTCCCCTAACAAAAGTTGGCAGTGTCGGCCTGAGCCATGGGACACTAGGACCCAGAGGCGTTCTTCTAGGAAAAAGGCAGGACAGCTCCACCCATTTGCCAGCCATAAGTTTATATAAAGAGGAGGCCATTCTGCTATGGAGGCTGGCTGCTTCTTTGGAGAGAAAGGGTCTCTGCTTCCTGAAAGATATTCACAATGGTGTACTTTTGGTTTGCTAATTCCATTGCAAATCCTGTTTTGAGGGAGCAGCCAAAGGGCTTCTGAAGAGGCTTTATTTTGTTCTGCTCTCCTACAATAAATAAGCAAAACAAAACTGTATCTCAGGTATGGGCATCAAGCACCTTTTGAGATCAGCCATACAAGCACAATTATGCCACCATATGGAGGCATAAGCAATTTTTCAAAGGTCACAAGCAGAGCTTGGAACAGAATCCAGCTCTCCTAACTTTCAGTCTAGGGCCCTATGCACCAGCCTACATGTCAGACTTCCCCTAGCCCTGGTTTACAGACTCACCTGGAATCAGGTAGCAACTTTAAAATCTAATGATCAGAGACCATAAAACATAGCACAGGAGAAAAAAAAACATTACTTACATATTCTTTAATATCCTTTGATTTTACAGCTTTGTAAGAATAATACGCAGGGTAAAGAGTGCCAAATATAATCCTGAAAGAAAAAAAAGAAATGGAGAAGCTTGATTTCCTGTCATAGGGAAATATTTTTTCCTTGTTAACTGCATTTCTTGCACCTGTAGAAAGTGTTAGTAGGTTCTGATCTAGGGCTACAATACACCATGCACTGCATTCCTCTGTGGTCTACAGTATAGGGCTGATCCTGCCTCATTGACCTAAGTAACAATTTTGCCATTGAGAGAGTTTTGCCACTGATTTACATGGAGCAGGATTAGGGCCAAGATTGTTTTCCCTCTTTTGTGACTGTCACTATGAGGCTGCATTACATTTAATAGGCACCTCCCGATGAAAAGTATCAAAAAGGGTGACACATCAGCATTAAAACAAGTCAGAAAAACAAACCTCCAGGAAAAGGTAAATGTAATTTTAAAATAATCTACCATGACACAGCAAAGAAGGTTTATTAGTTATTTTTAGAGATGGGACAAACTGGGAACCATTTATCTGAAATCCCCACCCCCCGCCCCACCCCCCAAGGAAACTTAAGAGGGGAAGAGGGACAAAATGGCACTCAGATTACACCTGGTTTTGGTTTGACAATATTCGGGCCCAATCCTGCACTCAGATCAGGGCAGGAGGAATCCTGCATGGCCCTGTTGACTCCAACTCTAAAGCCCCTCAAGTTTTCCGTGTCTGAAAGAGACACTACCAGGTTCAAAATCATAGAACTGTAAAAAAGAATCCTGAGGCTACTACTAGCACCTTGGAGTTTAAAAAGTGAGGGAATGTTTAAAAACCTCCTTTCCTCTCACTATTTGTGCTGCTTGTTCTCTTTGATCATTTCTTTAAATGTAGACCCTGAAAATAGGCTAATCATTTCTACTTTCTTCTATCAGAGGGGTAGCCGTGTTAGTTAGACTTCTGTTAGTCTTAAAGGTGCCACAGGACCCTCTGTTGCTTTTTTACTTTCTTCTAGACAGGTTTTAGTCAATTTTCCCTGCGATTGCAGGATACTGAAATGTTTGGATTGAAAATTGAGCAGGGGAATGTTTATTGGCTTTAAAAAAAAATACATGTTTCCACTGGACTTTTTCTTAATTTCGTGTAAAGATTTCCATTGTTCTTAGGGTTTATCAAAGCTCATTGTTTCAAAACCTAAACTTAGAGCCATATTAACCTGATATTATCCTTTCCATTTTGCCAGTTATGTTCCCCTGCCAAGGGACTTAATTACATTTATGGCCTATTCATGGATGATATATTAAAAATTTACTCTCCCCCATGCAGCTCGCAATTGTCCCTCCCAAAGCTGTCCTCAGGAAAGCATTTGTAAAAGAACAGAGTGAGACTGCACACTATCTTGATTTGTAAAGCACTGCGCTAGCACAATTTGCTGGGTATTCATCATGCCTACTGTAGCGTAATTTAACAAAACCCAAAGCATGCTGCAGACTTCAGAAAAGAAGCCACTGAGTGAGGAGCTCAGTGTTTTGCAGACGTTTCATGCTGGCTTCAGAAAGAGCTGCTGGAAACTGGGAGCACTGAATCTATTTTGTACATCAGAGATGTGCTGTATGTAGGGATTAGATAATATGCCCAGAGAGAAGATTCTGGGAAAACACATTCATTGTTCTCCCTTGAAATATCTTAAACAGTGCTGTTTAAGGCAAAGGAGACACACAGACAATGGTCCTGATCCTATTCTCGTTGAAGCTAAACAGCAAACTTTCCACTGACATCAGTGGTAGTGGGATTTGGTCCAGTGAAGATAATGCTAAAAGAGGCAGAGTTTCTCTGCACAGCTCAGAAAAACAATCATGCACATGAATGATTTTTCCCCCCACCTCATTTATAAAAGTTCCTCATTTCTGTCCCAATCCATTTCCCTCCCTCTCTGAGCTGGTTGCTATCACACGCTCTTGTTTCCTGAAGAGATTCCAACATCTGATGATTTATATTTGCTTCCTCAGTTTATGCCAATAACAGAAACTAACTTGGTCTTAGAGGCAAGTGAGTTTACAGAATCTCTGGAACACAGTTATATATGGCAAATACTTGGAAAGTTTCCTGTGGAGGAAGAGAAGCCTTACTATTTTGTTTACCTAAAATATACAGCATAATTAATAGGCTGATGTGCCTTCCCCGTGGGGGTTATGTAACAAACTTCAGATTTTCCTGACCGTACAGAGTGGGTGTGTATCATCCAGGCAGTTGTGGTTTAATAGACTGAGCCCTAGGGTAGGAAACTTAGTCCTAGTCCTGCTAACTTGCTGGGTGACCTGGAGCAACTCACTTAACCTCTTTGTGCCTCAGTCTCCCTATCTATAAAATGGGAGGCGGGGCTCCGAGTTCAGCCCCGGGTGGCTGGGCTCAGGCTCCAGCTTCAGCCCTGGATGGCAGGGCTCAGGGAGCGAGCACCACTTCCATCCCCAGACTCACCTCAGCCTGTCTGGGTTGGCGGGGGGAGCTGGAGTGCAACAAAAAATTGCAGCGTTGCCACAGAAGAGAGATCTCCTCCTGCTGCTAGCAGAAGGGGTTGCCTCACAACCACTGAACTCCATGAGCAGGCAGCAGCTAGCCAAGGAGACACACCACTGCTCTGCCCTGCTACATCAGCACTTCAGGGAGCAGGGCCAAATGGACAGTAGAAATCTGCCACGCATCGCCTTTGGTTGGGGTTCTGCAGGCTTGTCTATTTAAGTTTAAGGGCCCCTGGATAAAAACAAGGTTGAGAACCACTGCTCTAGCCCATCCAAAATGGAACAACGAAAATCACCTCGCCCATCTCTCAAACCACGTCACTCACCCATTCAAATTCCTCCACTGGCTCCCCTCTGGCCTACCAAGTCAAGTCTGAGAGTCTCATCTTTGCCTTCAAATACTGCTCCTGCCTACACACCCCTATTCCGGTGTCTTACACCGTCCCATCTCTTCCATAATGACGACAGTCTTGCTGTTTTCTTATGCCACTTTTTCTTTGTGCCTTCGTCCATGCTGCACCAGGCTCCCATGCTATCTTCATTCAAATTCTTCCCAAATGTCTACTCTGTCCACAAAGCCCTCATCCCCTTTATGTATCACCATCCCAATTCTAAAAATAAAATAAAACTGCTCACCACCACCCCCTCAAAAAAAACCTCTGGTATCTTCTTCCTTTGAGTCCCTCAATGTGACTTTTGTGTGACCTTTTAGCCTTGGGGTGGGAAATGAACTGTCCAAAACACAAAGGCCTAAAAGTCTTGTACAGGCCACCATCTTCACTGCCAAGCTAGAAATTAAATTGGGGATCGCCCGAGACAGACATATGAGCGGCTACAGCTTGAGCTATAGACAAGGGTCTCTACCTGGAGCTGTAAGAAACTCGCAGCTTCACTGAATTGGGCCCAGAGTGGGGGCTTCTGACACACTCACCAATAGGTCGCATCAGCTCGTTCTCAGCACTGAACAGAATCATGTAGCAGTTAGTATATTATTCCGACATATCACTGGGGTCTACATTAATTATAACCACTTAGCAAAAAGGTGTGGGAATGACTGCGCACAGCTCAGTGAAGACCTCTGCTTATTGTGCAGAAGTGGGCAAAAACTTAAGCAAAATGTCAGGGTACCTCAGGAATGGGATGAAGAATAATCCTGATAATATTACAGTGCCATTATACAAGTCAGTGGCATGCTCTGAGCTGGGACACTGTGTTCCCTTCTGGCCACTCTCTCAAAAAAGGATATCATGAAAACTGAAGGGGACTGGAGAAGGGTAATGAAAATACTTAGTGGCACTTGGAAAGAGTTCCACGTGAAGAGAGGCTGAAGTGATTGGGATTGTTTATTTTAGAGAGGAGGCAAATACAGTGGCCAGGAGAGGGGTGTAAGAACTAACAGAGGATCTAGAGAAGGTAAATCAGACACCTGCCCCCCCCCCCCGCAATACTAGGACCAGAGAATGTTCAATCAAACTGAAAGAACACATTTTAAACCCACACAAGGAAATACTTTTCTGCACAGCAAACAATTAACCTGTGGAACTCAGTGAAGTAAGACATCATTGAGGTCAAGAGCATAAGAACGTTCAAAACGTTATGTTTATATATCCAGTTACATTAGATAGGATTTTTAAATAAACCTTTGTGAGTCAAGTCAACCATTAACTGACCAGGGAGAAGAAGAAACTGCCCATTATGACATTTCATGCACCTTCCTCTGAAGTAGATGATAGTAGCCACTGTTTGGCTCAGGATACTGGACTAAAGGGACCAGAAATCTGATCCGATGCGCAGTTCCTAAATTCTTGATAATACACACCCCTGAAGGACGCTGGCCTGTCACACACCCAATTCTCGGTCAGGCCCTTCAAACAAAAACCTCACAAGCAACACAAAATAAAGCTATTCCCCTAACTAGCACTGGGCTGCAGGAACCCAGAGACCTTTTGTTCCATGTTGCTGCAGGGCAAGCCACAGGACCCACCTCCCTCCTACAGCTTTTCTTCTTCCACCTCTCTCAGCCCTTTATAGACATCACCTGACCCCTTCCCAGCTGGGTTTGATAATCAAACAGGACTGGCTGGCCACCAGCCTTTAGAGGAACAGACTACGCTATTGCAACCCCATAGTCTGGGAGCCAGCATCAGAGCTGGGATTAGAATTCAGGACAGCCTCATTCCATATGCTAAACGCTAAACCACTAGACATTGCTGGCTTCCTGACTAAGGTCCTGATCCTACAAACATACATGTGCACAGAGTTACTCACATACCCAATCTAGTATTCACTGAAGTCAATGGAGAAACCCACTGACTTCAATGGGCATTGGACCAGACTCATAAGCAGTTCCCTGTGACATCAATGAGTCTGTTAGAGTGAGTAATTTTACTCACATGGGTTTGCAGGATCTGGCCCTTAATGTTATAAACACACAGCACGGTGCGGCTGGCACCGCAAACCTGTCGAGCTTTGCTGTTTTGGCTACCATGTCATCAGAGCCTCTAGATATTTGGATGGCAGGGCACATCCTTTAGAGCACTGTAGAACAAACAAG